TTTTTTTTTTTTTTTTTTTTTTGAAGACAGAGTCTCACTCTCTTGCCCATGCTGGAGTGCACTGGTGCAATCTCCATTCACTGCAACCTCTGCTGCCTCCTGGGTTCAAGCGATTCTCATGCTTCAACCTCCTCTGAGTAGCTGGTACTACAGGCGCGCACCTCTACGCCCAGTTAATTTTTTGTATTTTTTAATAGAGATGGGGTTTCGCCATGTTGCCCAAGCTGGTCTCAAACTCCTGAGGTCAGGCAATCCATCCACCTTGGCCTCCCAAAGTGCCAGCTAGGATTACAGGCGTGAGCCACCATGCCTGGCTTATTTTTAAAATTTCTATCTAATATTCTATCTATCTATCTATCTATCTATCCATCTATCTATCTATCTATTTATCTATTTAGAGATAGGGTCTTGCTCTGTTGGCCAGGCTGGAGTGCAGTGGCACGACCATGACTCACTGCAGCCTCAACCTCCTGGGCTCAAGCAATCCTCCCATCCCAGCCTCCAGAGTAGCTAAGACAGCAGGCACATGCTACCATGCCCAGCTAATTTTTGTACTTTTTGTAAAGACAGGTTTTGCCATGTTGCCTAGGCTGGTCTCAGACTCCTGGGCTCAAGTAGCCCTCCCACCTCGGCCTCCCAAAGTGCTGGGATTACACGTGTGAGCCACCTCGCCCGGCCTTCTGTCTGTAAAGATTCCTACCCTTATGTGTCCTCTCTGTCCCCCCGTCCCCCGTGCTCGTCCACTTGTCTGTGAGTCCCTCCCCACTTGCCTAACCCCATCTCCTGGGCCCTGCACCCCATCTCTCTCTGACCTGGTTCCAGATCCTCCTCTCAGTCTTCCCCATCCCAGAGGTCTTGGCACAAATCCTGTGGATTCTAGACGTTTTCCTGGTCCCTACTTCCCTGGCCGGGGCCCAGGCTTTAGCACTTTTCATCAGGAACCCAGAAAAAGGCTCCTAGCTCTGACTGGGTCCCCACTGCTCAAACACCTCCTCAAACTCCCCATCACCCTCAGTACAAGCCCCCAGTCCCAGAGTTCAAAGCCTTCAGCATCTAGCTGCCAATTTCTCTTATCTCTGCCTTTACCCATGTTATGGCCCTGCTAAATCACTCTCTCCCTCTGTGCTTCTCCTTATGCTGTTCCCATTTCTGGAATGCCCTTCCCTGCCTGGAGAACTCATCCCCGTACATCAAAGCCCAGCTCCTATGACCCCTGCTTCTAGATAACTTTTCCCTTCTGGAATCCTTCACAGCCCCTGTCCCTCTTTTCATGGGGCTTGGAGTGTCTGTATCTGACTTTGTCTCCCCTAGACTAGGGAATCCTGGGATACCGGGCCTGGGGCTGGGGTCTCTTGGGGGCCCATCATTACAGTGCCCAGGGAGGACACCAAAGTCGTTGATGAGTAGACAGAAATTCCCTCCCACATGTCTGCTCAACCACCCACCCGCCACCTCACCTGGCCGATGGCTCCAGCAAACACCAAGGCCCAGTCTGGCAGCCAGGAACAACCAGGGAAGGTGAGAGCATAGGCAGCCAGGCCGCAGAAAGGCAGGACGTAAAACATGTACATCAGCATCTGCAGGAGAGGGAGGAGAGGGGCACCAGCCTGTGAGATGAGCAGCTACCCCAGGTGGGTCTCCTGAGACCCCCGAGGTGGAGGCCCTGAGGAAGGATCTGGATGGCCTCAGACCCCACCCAGGCTTTCTGCAAAGTGCTCCCCTATTTCCCTTGCAGATCCTTGCCCCCACCCGCCGAACACATACACCAAACCTACCAACCTTTCTCTGGAAGTGGCATGCGACTCTGGCCTAGCCAGTCGGAGCATTCCAGCCCCCTGTCCATGATGCTCAGTAAGGGATGGGCAAGTGATTCAGGCTGGGTCAATCTGAGCCTGCCTAAGACTTGTGCTTAAGCTTGGGGGTAATAAGGGCTCACAATGCTCTGGGGTGGCTGAGTGGGGTGCATGGAAGCCTGGAGCTGCCACAGGCTGTCTCTGCTACCCCATAAAGGGACTGCCTGAGAGCAGAGCCATGCAAAGAAAGCAGAGCCCAGAGGCCGGGCACGGTGGCTCACG